GTTATGCTGTGAAATTAACAGTTTGACGAATCACAATGCACATGCAGAGTTTATGTGCTCATTACATTAGAGGCAGATTAAGGTATTTGGAGCACCTCTTGTAGGAGTAGGTCAGTTTTAATAGCCTGCAAACACCCGACTGCCTCCCTCTGTGTTCAAGCTCAACTACCCACCATACACTGTGACATAAGTGGACAACTGCCAACTTCAGGCTATATATACTGTTTTAAAATCAATGTAAAGTCATCATTTACTCATCCTCATGTTGTTCCAAACCAGTCACCATTCATTTTCATTGTTTCATTGTATGGGAAAAAGATTCAAATTAAAGTGAATGGTGACTGAGACTATAATTCTGCCTAACATTTCATTTGTGTTCTATACAGAAGATATAACAACAGGTTTCCAGTATTCCTATTAAAATGACCACATTTGGCAATGAATTTGATTTAAAGTTTGTGAACTTATGCAAGTGCCTCATTGTCATGAGTCTGATGTGTGGCATGTGTTACAGCAGGGCATTATCTAACATGACTTTACCCGTGATAATTATATACAGCCTGCAATGACATAATGTTCACATCCAGACTCATACAACAGTACAAAATGTTCTTTCATTTTGGGAGGGAAATGAATGGCAGGCTATTTTAACAATTATTCTTTTATTACTATTTGTATATTTTTGTTACGAGAACTCCTTACTAGTAAGACATTTATGGTAACTTTTTTCCCATTTTACTTGAAACTATTCATTAGCAATATTTTTTTATTCACAATGACTTATTCCTCCTCATATAACTATTTATTAGGAAATATCAAATATTTCATAGTTACTAGAATCAGTGTTAGCATTTATTGTAGTTATCCTATAACAAACTGAATACACACTTAAACTTATAATTGATTAAATGCTCGTATCTATTCCAGTTGTTTATAAGACAATTTTTAAAGAAGTGACAACTTAGAAGATTGAATACACAATGAATAGTTGCAAGTGATTATTTAATATTGAATTTATAACTAAAAATTGTACTACAGTACTAACAAAAATAGATACTAGTAAGGAATAAACGTAAAATGGCTTGCGATGGCAAACGAGGCTAAAGTAGGCTGTTTCATAACCTAAGAGTTCACTTTTTAGCAAAAACATTTAGTTTCAGTCTCAGTAACTAGGGTGTATTTAAAACACGGTTAGCTATATTGCATTTCTTCATTGTGGTAAACAAGGAGGACAAAACTGTGTGATTTAAAGGGCTTTGCTCTGGAGCACTGACCGAAGATGACCTAATCACTGACACAGTTATGCAACGCGTCCATAACATATATATGACACATATATGACTAAACCAATGTATATTAATATCACATAACGTTATGTTACAGTGTATCTGTACGAACACCATGTTGTGTTTACGACAGAAACTTGTTCAAGAGAATTGGTCACATTGCAGTCAATGGAAACAGTTATACAACTCCTCAACACAGACAAGTCTTCTTAACAAAATAAATGACTGTATCTTACCAGACAACTTAAACAGTCTTTGTTTTCGTACAGGTTGGCTGTCCCAAAGCAGGTCTCCGTCCTGTCCGGCTTAATAAAATATATATTCCTGAAATTCCAGTCAAAGCCTCAGCTCAGTTTGACACACTTCACTGCAGACTGCTCTCTTCTCTCACACACCGCTGCCCTGGATCTCTGGAGCTCCCAGCATGACCTGCATTCAAACTCCTCCCACCGCGCACTCCTATTGGCCAAACGCCACGTATTTGCATGCAAAAAAATGCGGAAATGCGAGGAACGCGCTGTGATTGGCTCAGAGGGCTGCCAGTCTTTTTATATAAGTATGTCATACGCCGCACGTGGAGAATCATGACGACGTGTGTTGCGAATGGGCAAATCAGTAGTAAGAGAACGCTAGTGAATGGGACACCGAAGAGGGAAAAGCCTCTGGTTGGTCCTGGAAAGCTGAGCACGCCGAACGTTATACAAACGGTTATACAAGTGTGTGTACAGTCAATGTGGTCTTCTCGTCCTGTATTAGCGAAACATGGCATTTGATCCTGTTATTATAGCATGGACGTGCGTGGATGCTCGAAATTATCCAGTAACTTAGGTTTTATAGGTATATATTCAATTCAATTTAATTAAAATTTATTTGAATATCGCTTTTTTTTACAATACATATTGATTCAAAGCAACTTTACAGAAAGTGCATTTCAGAAATGTACACGGAAAAATACATTTATCAAGTTCATCTATGTTAGAGTGATGTAGGCTACATCTACACATAATAGATAACCCTACTGCACTCTGGTTCATTTCAATCATTTTTGTCATAACACACAGGCTACATAACATCTCATACAGATGCTATTTCATAACATCTCAAGTAGGCTATTCAATTTTTTACCCTTATAGTCAAACTGCATATTGCCTATGTTTGAGCTGCAATGTTGATATTTCACTGTCACATTGAGCAACCTCTGCAACAAATCAATTTTATTTGTATCCTGATATAAAAGGCTGTGTTTTAAAGCACTCTGGATATGTGAGTCTATTAGAGCACACACTAATAAACCACTCTCTCTTTCTCTGTTTGGACTCTCTCCATTCCCATCTGTTAGAAGAGGAGTCATCTTGCCTTTTGCCAATAATTGTTTTTCTCACATTCATTTTTTTTTTTTTTTTTTCAATGTTCATGGTCTGACCTGAACAGCTATTTATGTGATGGGTAAATGTTTTATTAGGCTCATTATATCAGTTCCAGCTTCCATGAGCAATATGCTGTTGAACTGAATATGGCACTAGGCTCTATGCAATCTGTGAGGACAATAAACCTTAAGGTGATCAAATTGATAATAAATTTATCGAAGAAAATGTGTGGAATGTTTTGTTTGATCTCTTTCTCACATCTCTTCAAATCTCTTCAAAATAAGTCTCAATAACACCAGATGGCTTCCGTCTCTTCCCATATGGATCCACAAGATTGGACATCAAATCACTCCAGACCATTTCTAAGAACTAAAAAACATAGCTTCAATAAATCCTCAGAAGGTTTCTGATATAATGATCATCTGAATATTAGTGTGTTGTACATACTCTGAAAGTACAAAGGCAATTGCATTTGATCCAGAGAGTAGAGGTAGAATATTGTGTTCTCCGGTGAAATTAAAATATGAAATTAAAACATTGAAAAATGAAATGTTACTCTCAGTGATGGACATGCCCTAGATTAACTGGGGGAATAGTTGAGGACATATTTTATATTTTTTAAACAGAGATTCAGAAAATCCCACTATACATCAAATTTGCATAGTGTTGGGAGGCCATTACATGGATAAAAGATGTAAATCCTCTACATTTTGTACTGAAACTCAGATAAATGAATAGCATGACTGATCAAATGGGAAGTCCTCATTCAGTGGCTGAATGAGGATGCAAACCAAAATGAACTCTAAACGTTCAGTCGATCCATTGGGGATATGTGGGTGTAATGTTTACAGTCCTGGCGGAAGCACTTACTGAAAAAGCCATGAGTCAGTCAGTGGATAGAGTGGACTATCTTTAATAATTCCAGATACTCGTCAGATCGAGGCTGTTTGAGTGGCGTTTGAGTGTGTTTGTCATTAGTTCTTTTGGGAGAAATGGTCTGAAAGTGACGCACACGAAAGGGAACTGAGGGCCAAAACAATAACAAAACTCTTAAATGACGCATTATTTGAGTGTGTTCAGCAAAAAGTGCACTTATTGTTTTATTATGGGGTGACCATTTGTTTTTTGGGGTTTTGTTTTGCATTAAATGACATTTATGGACTATGAAATGTCATTTTTCTGTGTGTAAAATCTAAGAGACTTCAACTTTTCGTTGAAATCAAAGGTAGAATGTATCCTTCATTGAGAAGACGATCACATAATGCATTATGACTTTCTTGGTGGGGAAAAAAAATCCATCCAAGATGGTGGATGCAGCAAAAATATCAATTATAATTAAAATTCATTCAATGTTTAAAAGCATAAAATGGGTTGATTGCATTAAACATGAAACATAAGCATAAAAATATTTTTGTGCAAGTATTTTTCCTGCTTATTACAATTATTCATTATTAATCTAAATCCAAACTATTGTCTTTCTGAGTTCTGAAAGTAAAATACAATTCGACTTTAATGTGCATTTGGTTTTGCTAGTAAAATTGTGTTTACGAATTGTTCAAGGCTCGATGCTCTATACTGGATTCTCTCTTGTTAGTATTAATGTCTGGCCTAATTTGATCAAAACTGCTATATTGAGTTCCATTCTCATGACAAAAACTCTGTAACATGATCTCTTCATGTCTCTACATATATTATAAAATAACACAAAAAGCTGAAACATTTTACTCAGAGATATAGTTTTTAAAATCAGAAATCAGGTGAAATGAGGCATGCTTTTTTGTCTGTCTGCTGTAAGTAATTGTGAATTGTATTTAAACTGACTGTGCTATTTCATGTACTACAGAGTTTCCCATTTCTTTGACCCTAAATTAAGAAGCTATGATTTCCTAAAGGTTCCAGACGGGACCCAGAGGGTTTTTTTTTTTTTTTTTTTTGGCTGCGATGCCATTTGAAGAACCATTTTGGTCTCCCCAAAGAAACTTTCAGTGAACAGAATGAACAATTTTTTCCCCACTATAACCTTTTGTGCAATGAAAAGTTCCATTGGCATTGAAAGTTCTTCATGGTACCATATGCCAATCAGGAACTTTTATTTTTATGAGCGTTTTTCAAAGTTCACATCATAGGATTCAGTTTCATTGGGGAAAATGAAATCGCATCACAAATTCTTAATTTATGCTCCTGAATTGTAAGAAAACACTTTAAAGATTGTTGTAAACTTGTTTGATATAGCATATTCAGCATTTTTACATGAAATTGCAGCATCACATGACGTAGCCAGTCAGGGGCGGAGCACCAAATGATTAAAAAGCTGCTTTTTTTGGTGTGTGTGTGTGTGTGCGCAACATGCAGCTGAAGCAGACTTTCCTTTTCCAAGTAAGTTTATTCATTTTGAATTTGTGCTTTATATAATGTTATTTATTGAGATTATGTTTGTTTGGGTTTAACTATGAAATGTGATTTGTCATTAATATATACAGTATATATATATATACTGTATATATATATATATATATATATATATATATATATATATATATATATATATATATATATATATATATATATCAGTGTTATTACTATTTGATTATTAAACTGTTTATTGATGATTGATATTGATATTGATGATTTTTTTTTTGTAATTCATTGTTTTAATTTCCATAGTTTTAAATGTATTTAAAACATTTAAAATATGTTTGTTTATAGGCATCATAAAAACTGTCTGATTCCTGCTTCTATTTACAAACAGATTATGGATATAAATACTGTGTTTTAATGGACACACCATCCTGGTAGCACGGTCTTGAACCAACTCATTTTGAACATTTTAAACTTTGTAAGCTCACATTGTCTGGATTTTCCATTACAGCTGTCTGGAATAGGGAACGAGGAGTTGTCTTTTGGATCCTGTCCTAAGCATTACATCACCCAAATAGCAGCAGACATGACTGGGACGGAAAAGGTTCTGGCCTGGTGCCCAGTGAAACCGTGCTGTCCTCCTCCCTCACACTTCCTGAAGTGGCCACCCCTCCCCTTTCCTTTCTGCTTAGGGTCAGTACATGACATAAAATCTTCAATCAGTGATTGTAAAAAAAGAAAAATATATTCTAGTTTTACATTATGCTTTTTAATAACACAATTTTAAATACATAAAATATGAAGTCATTGAGAGCTCTTGTTAAAAGATTTAAATGATTCTATTCAGGGTTTTATCTTAACAAAATGCCAAAGGATCAGATATCATTCTCCTTCAGACATAGAAAACTGATTCAATTGAGAAAAGTGTTAATGAAGGACAACAGGAAGAGAAGCATTAACAAGAATTAACTGCAAATACCTCTCTCTCTCCATGACGTAAATCCAATGCGTGGGTTTGTTTGGAGGATTGTGGAGTGCTTTGAGAAGAGGACATGTAACAACCACAATCAAACAATGTACTGTTTTATAGCATTAAGATGTCCCCCTAATTATGAAATATGTCAAATATGCCTAATTATGAAACGTGCATATCCAAAGTTACAGGATTTTTTTCCCCATCTGAGCTTGGTGATTTAGCGAAAACTATTTTCTTAGTCCCGTTCATCAAATCTATTTGCTAGTAGTGCTACAAATAGCCTCATAATGCTGCATTATTGAATCACCATAAAAAAAGCTTTAGTAGGATTATGCACTGCGGTATTTGAAGGTTTTGTTGAATCTTGTTGTCATGACAACTCGATCTTTAAGTAGCTTAAGATGTTGGCTGCTTGTTTTGAGTTCATACTCTTGGAAAAAAGTTCAAATGGGGATCTACACTCATCTAAAGGATTATTAGGAACACCATACTAATAATACCTCCTTTCACCTTCAGAACTGCCTTAACTCTACGTGGCAATGATTCAACAAGGTGCTGTTGGCCCATGGTGATAGGATAGCATCTTGCAGTTGATGGAGATTTGTGGGATGCACATCCAGGGAATGAATCTCCAGTTCCACCACATCCCAATTGGGTTGAGATCTGTATATTGTAGTACAGTGAACTCATTGTCATTTTCAAGAAACCAATTTGAAATGGTTTCTTGAAATGGTTTCTTCAATTAATTTAATGTGTTATTAACCCTCTGGGGTCTAAGGTGTTTTTGGGGTCGTTGAGATGTTTTGACATGCACTGACATATTAATGGCAAAGGTGCAATTACACTCTATAGCAAAAACAGGGCTACCATAATATGTAAGCAACATGTATGTATGTGAATAGACGACGCATCGCTGGCGATATGTTATGCCCTACATGATCAACTAAATGTATTTTTCCATGTACATTTCAGAAATGCACTTTCTGTAAAGCTGCTTTGAAACAATATGTATTGTGAAAAGCACTATACAAATACATTTGAATTAAATTAAATGTACACGTTTGTACTTTTGAGAGTATAATGTTTCTGCATGGTCATAGAAAAAAAATTAAGTTTCTGAAATAAGGCAACAAAACATAAAAGTTATTAATTCATGAAAATTCTTGCCTATATTAAAGTCAGCATAAATTAAATTTCATGCGCTGTTTTAGATCTCTGGTTTAGCTCTTATTGTGGATAGGTCATCCATGCATATGTTTTTTTTTTTTTTAATCTTGCAATTGTTATAATCACAATTAGATCTTCTGTTGAAAACAACAGGTTTGTCTCTGTTGAGGTGTGCAGGACTCCAATCATTTGTTTTCTGTTAAACCCATCCTTGCAAGCTCATGTTGCATGTTCATATACCTCCTTTTTCCAGTGAAATACTAACATATTTAAAATCCAGTAACTCCCCATCCTACATTTTTCATCTTTTTCAATATTCTGTCAAACTCGGATGTGCATCACAATACGAAGTGGAAGATCTGACACTACTTCCGTTTCATAGCAACTTTAAAACTCACAGATTCTGACCCAATCTGAGTGTAAAAACAGAAAAAATGCAGTTCTTTTCTGTAATGAATGATGTCAGGATCTGAGCTGATGCAAAAAAAGGAGAGTACCCCTTCTAAAAATTAATGCTCATAAGTCATTAGTCTAACACAGAGAGGTGTTTCTGCTTCCCACAACTAATGAACCGGCGGAAATGCATCACAATTCACCCACTTAAAAATGCTTTTCTTCTCACCTTCCCCTGCACACACACAATCACGCGCCACCACACTCCTACATACACCCACAGCTCTGGCATCCTTCATTTGCCCAATGAATCATTACACGTGTTGTAGTTTTCATGTCAATCAATAAAGTCAAATCATCCAACAAAAGTCTAAACCAGTTATACACACACCGTATATAAAATGTATGAAGGCTATTATGTGTTAAAAATGTTAAAAGACTTGAATGTTTATTCAATTGTCTGGTAACGCTTTACACTAACCATGATCAATACATTTGTTACTGTTTTTGTTCATCTTTGTTAACGTTAGTTAATACAAATACAGCTGTTCGTTGTTAGTTCATGTTAATTCACAGTGCATTAACTAATGTCAACAAGATTTTAATGAAGTATTAGTAAATACTAATACTTAGTGAAATTAACATTAACTAAGAGTGAACAATACTTCTTCAGCATTTGTTAATCTTTGTTAATGTATAATGTAGTTAACTAATGAACCTTATTGTAAAGTGTTACCGATACGGACACCAACGTTTTTGCAAATCCTAAAAGTTTATTTGCAGGTTTAATTGAATGAAAAAATCCCAATGTGACCCGAAAGTCAAGGAAACTTGGTCAAACAAATAAATTAAGTAAAGCATCAATTAGATGTCACTATTGTAGAATTGAATCGACTGTGCTATCATGTAGGAGGTGGGAGCTTCAAAATCCAACATTTGTGAAAACGCTTGGAAACCACTCATGGTGTGACTTGACGCAGATGGTGGGCAGGGTTTGCTTTTTTCCTCCTCAGAATGCCGTATTATGTGCGTCACAGACATACATTTTCGATTAGGCCCACAGCTGATATGTTTTAAAATTGCATGGAATAGCTTTCAGATTACACACGACAAACTGTTACAAACATGCAATGATTGTATTTACCCACAACACCAAAAAGCTATTTGGCACAAGGTAGCCTATTGTTAACCCTCCTCAAATCTGATAACATTTTTTACCCACTGGAGTCAATTTGACCCCAGTAATTTAAACCTCCACAACATGATTATTATTATTTTTGTCTCAGTTAATTTATATCTTTGTTGAGTCCTTAAGTAACCTTTTAAGTTGACATCCACCCACCACCCTCTCCCCATCCCATCTAAGGGGTTAAACAGGCACAACCAGCCATTTCACTGATGCCGTGGAATGCGACTAAGAACAAAAAGCCATAAAAGTCTGTTTTATAATGCCTTTGATGCACACACCTTTACGATTTATCTTTATTAATATTGTACGCAATTTCTTTGTTTTTCCTGACCTGAATGGCAGCACAAATCCTATTCTGTGTGCAAGTTTGTTGAAACTGGCCACTGACTCTTGGTCAGAGCTGCTCTCTTGGCACGTGAAAACAGATACTCACTCTTTGTTTAATTAATACATTTTATTTCATTGAGTTATTTCATATCAATATTTATAGGCTATACTACATATCGTGCAGAGCGTGAATACGGCCGTGTTTTGTGTGATGAAAATCAGTGTGATAGCGCCCTCTGCTGGCCGATATAATGATTGTCCCTAAAACGACAACTAAAAGAAAGCATAATTAAATGACTAAATTCACACTTTACACCATTCAATTTCCAAACGACCGACTGACTTTACTATATCCCTCTTTCTGCACAGTTAGCCTACGTTAAAAACAATCCAGACGCTAAAAAGGCTGCAGTTCACCCTACTTCCGGTGTCTGTTGACCATCAGAACCAGAAGCCATAACGTTACGCATTTAAAAAAGATGAAGCTTCCTGTAAGTAATCATATAAATTGGATACGATTAAAATAGCAAAATAGTTAAATAAAAGATAAATACAACTACTGTTCATTTAACATGGAGTCACGGTTTTCTAACAAACCCAAAATGCTCAGTAGGCCTACAGTAGCCTAAATTTAAAGTGTGTAAATTAGGCTGTACAATGAATGGCATAACTAGTCATTAGAATATAGGAAATTATTGCAATTCTATTTTACAAATGAATTTAAAATAATAAATAATAATAAAAATAACTATGTGCAGGTTTCATCTTCTCCTTTCACCCACAGTGTTTCTCGCTTTGTGATCAACTGCATTTTGATAGCATCACCAAACCCAATTTCGTTGAATTTCTCGTTGATCTGAAAGAAAAAAAAGCACTAGCTATAATGGAATAACAAAACCACTTTTAACAAATATATTGCTATATTTCATCATGTTATTTTGAAATGATGACTTCGAAGCATTTTAGAGCACAAAGAAAAAATCACTTTTACCTTAGCTAACATGGTCGATCTTATTATAGGGTCATTGAGGTCCACTTGTCCACCAAGATTCAATTTAAATCGCAACACAACCCTTTTGCCTTGACCTAAGGACACGGGTAAACAAACATGCATACGAACATCAAAAATAATGAAATTATGGTTTTATAGATTTAATTTACCATTACATTTGCTAAAATGCAGAGATATACTCACTTTGGCTACAGAAAAATGAAGATGTCAGTGTGCAGCTCTTTTTGGTGAGTTGCCAGGTATCAGTTTTTATAGCTAAACAGTTCTGAGTCACTTTTTCTATTTCAGTACTGTTTTGTGGGTCAGACTCAGGCTCAGACTTCAGATCAAACCCCCCTATCCATGCTTTGCTATAAAGAGGAAGAAGAGAAGCCATTTTTTGTAGATCCTCCTCATAGTACACATAAAGCAGATCTGTGTATTTCAGTCTGCAGTAGCTCTGAGCGTCTGTCCAAGTCATCAGCTTAGATACATAAAAGAACTGCCTTGGAAGAAGAGAGTAACCCCCAAAAAGACCTGTAAGAGAAGATATGCATCAAAACACAGACTAAACTCATTTCGAACACTTTAAATCCACAGAATCAGCGGCATCATATGGTCCGCTTATAAAATTGCAATAACAAAAGATATGTTACCTGAGAGAAAAAACAGCAGTGCAGTTATCAGATTCATGTCTGCAAAGTCAAAGCTCACGTCGTCTTGTGTTTGGAGTAAGATGCCATCTGAACCAAAGCCTGCATGTGTGATGATTATATCTATGTTGCAGCGATTGGTTGACACATGTTTTGAATAGGACACAGTGTCCTTCACAGGCATCTTGCAAAATTTGTTTCCATCATGCAAATGGGACTACTGACGTGTTCAGATGTAGCATATAATTTGTCTACACTTTATGTGAATGATTCAAGTTGTTCAATGTTTTTATAGTTGGAATCAAGCAAAGGTTGTACAGTAAATCCGATCTTTCAGACACTACAATGAGTCAAACTTTACTGTATTTTTTTTCATGATTTTTAATCACAACATTTTTTTCTTTTGTCAAATCAACTTAAATTATTTATGTGGTTCAGATAACATAATATTTTAAGTTTCTGATGATTCAATCAATCTCTTTCATTGTATTAACTCAATTTTTCCATTCCAATGAACTTAAAATTTTAAGACAACCAGGTTCATTCATTTTTTAAGTTCAACCAACAATATATATATATTTTTTTACAGATATCAAAATCCAAAAAAAACATGGACAATCTCAACTGTTACATTTAGTTCAAGTTACTTTGTTATATGGCGGTTAGGTTAAAATTAAAAAAAAAAAAAACAGACATCACAGCAATGTCAGTTTAAAACATTTATTTATAGCAAACAATAAAGATACAGTAAGACTTATTATTGGGACTAGTATATAAATATAAAATATGATCTGGACTCTATTAGAGATTTACATGTATTGGTAAACATAATTGTTTTAAAATATGGATCTACATTTTACCATGTCCATATTTTGAGTCTCAAAATTAAATTATTTGATGTTAAAGCAAAGAAATGGCGAATAGAATTTATCCTAGTGAATATAATGATCATTAATCTGTACAATTCTCTGAAATGGCATGGATTTTTTTTCAATTCTCCATATACTGTATTGTGATTCAGTTTGTACTGTATATATCAATACTGATATTAAAATATAGTTTATTTTTAATTGTTCTTGGTATTACTATACAGTCTGCTATTTTGATACACTATGTGGCATTAAGAAAATGCAAATATGGTATTTGTTAGATAGCTGACCTGTTCTTGTTTGCATCTTTCTCTGAATTACATCTCAATTTACACACACACACACACACACACACACACACACACACACACACACACACACACACACACACACACACACACACACACACACACACACACACACACACACACACACACACACACACACACACACACACACACACACACACACACACACACACACACACACACACACACACACACACACACACACACACACACACACACACACACACACACACACTACTATTAAAGTGATACTCCACCCAAAAATGAAAATTCTGTCAAGTTGTTGTAAACCTCTATCAGTTTCTTTCTTCTGCTGAACACAGAGGAAGATATTTTGAAGAACGTTTGAAACGCACAATGGTTTGCAACAACTTAAGGGTGATGATCTTATTTATTAATGTTTTAAATGATGACAGAACTTACATTTTTTGGTGGAGTGTCCCTTTAACGCTTTCCCCGCCACTGACGGACATTTCCGGTTTTCCGTGTTATATGGCAGGGGTGCTGTAACGGGTCTTCTGAAAGAGTAGCTACAGAATCTCCAGATCAGAGGAGATGTGCAAAAGCAGAAACAAGGGATATCACATCAAAACAAATGCGTATGTAAAATAAAGCGATCAACATTAAACAACATGTAAATCAAAACTATGTTACTGAATGAAATGTCAACCTAAGACGAGCTAGGAAGCTTTGTGGGTGTTGATGAATGTGATATTACTCCATCTACATTTTGATCATCGTTCTGAATCTGTATCTTTGACAAATATGCGATTTTCTCAGCTTTTTGCTCAAAATATTGCTTTTTTATTAAACTTACCAACATTCAAGTGTTAAAGGAGTAGTTCACTTTTTAAAAAAATGTTGCTGATAATTTACTCACCCCCATGTCCTCCAAGATGTCCATGTCTTTCTTTCTTCAGTCGAAAAGAAATTAAGATTTTTGATGAAAACATTCCAGGATTTTCTCCATATAATGGACTTCAATGGGAACCAAACGGTTCAAGGTCCAAATGAGAGTTTCAGTGCAGCTTCAAAGGGCTTTAAACGACACCAGACGATGAATAAGGGTCTTATTCAGAACTTATCCAGTTCTGATCTTTAAGGCTTATCCAGAATTGAAATCTCTTGATTTGATATATTCTACAAGAATATTTTTGTGAGTTCAGTGACTACAGGGAGTGGCATGATCTTCACAGGTGGTTTTGAATAGGTCACAATGACCTTCACAGATGTTTTGTTAACAAAATAATATAGCTGCTTCTTTACAAGTCAAACAACTCAATCAGCACACACACAAAAAGCAATTCTGCCTTCATAGAATTTAAAATATAGCAGTTCATTTTGCTGTCACTTTCCAACCCCATGCTTTTCACTGATCCGGAAGACCAGCAAGAAAAAAATCCAACAAAACTTGGAAGATCATGCATGTCTTCATTTACATATTTTGAACACATTTCTCAACACATCAATACATCAGGTGTTGAAACACTGGCAAAGCATTAGATCAGTTGGGAATCGAGAATCAATTCTTGTTCAGAACTATTAAATTATGATAATTCCTGTTATAAACACAAACTTTGTAAGATATATATTTCATTTACTTGAATGAACAGTTGTATGAAAATTGACTCTGCAAGCTTTTAATTCTTAATAGGTGAATAATTCTGTGTCCAGTTTATTTTCAACATTTATTTTGTTCCTACTAATAAAGAGTCATTTACATGAAAGGGTAATTCATAATTTTGTTTAAAGACAAACAGCTTTGCATAATAGCTAGCCTAATGCCAACAGATAAAAACTAATACAATGCTGAATTCATATAGACTTTTAGTTTACAATGCAAATTTTCTATCTCTTTTGTACCGCAGAGTTTAGATTTTAATGAACTTACAAAAACACATATGAATTTATATGCATGTACACATTCAAGAAGGACCAGAGAACCCAAGACTCGGAAGGGGAGAAAGAATGCACACGTAGTGCCTGCTCAGCGAATCTCAAAAGAGGAACTAGGAGTCGCATGACTATTGTGTCGCAAGGGTATCCGTTGGAAAAACCCAGATGGTCTGAGAGATTGTGTCACACAGCCAGTATAAATAAGGCTGCTTTCTCAGTGTTAGTTGTTGCATCTTGCTAGAAGATTTTTGCGTGCATCCCTGAAGGTAATCATTCTTCAGTCCAGCTTGCTGGAACATATATTGCTTTAACTGCTTAGCTGTATGATGTTAACTTAACCTGCTCATAGAAGGACAAGGTTAGTTATTCATTTGATACTTGAACTGTGTATGTTAAGAAAAACTTTGTGACTGAACCACTTATACAGGACTGCCCTGTTAAGTTGGGAGAAACTGAGGTATTATAATCTGTAACCTTTTCTTTTGTTGCTACTATTAACAATCATTGTGTAACCAGTGTTATTATCGTTTGTATAAATAAATTTTCATTTTATAAAGATAAAAGTTGAATAGTTCTTTGCCTCGGGTCACAATACCAGTTCTATAAGCAATAGTAAGAGCATTAAAGCAACCCTTGCGAGGGCAAGAGGTCACCAGGACTCCACGGAAGCATCTCCACGGAGGGTGAGTATGAATTGAATTGATGGTTGTTGCTAGTAATAATGTATTGGTTTACATGAGTGTAGGGATACACCTAGATTTACTGGTATGGGTTAAATGAGCTATAAGGAACGTTTATCCAGAAATTCTGACCTGACAGCAAAAGGCACCTGGCCACTTCGATACCAGGCGCTCTTCAGGGCTGAGGTAGTACCAGATCTCACCACATGGGGGCTCGTCCGGGATTTATTATTATTAATTTAATAATTTGAATCCGAGTGAACAATAATTATTAAAACACCATCAAAATCCGCTAAACAGTGTCTCCAGAGTTGAAGGAGAGGGTTACAGAGAGTAACTGTGTCTCCTTAGTGCAAAGAGGAAGTTACTGAGAGGGTGCTTCCTCGTATTAACTGTAAAAAATCTTCAGGGACGCCTGAGAGATAAATTATATAGTTAAGCACTAAACGGGGTAATTGATCCAGAGGACTGCGCAGAGGGACCACACGAGTACCCAATATATATAACCTCGAAGAAGGATAATTACCAGAACTCTCGAAAGGCAGACACACAGTCATGGACAAGATAACTCATATTGCTTTACTCCCACCAGATAAATTTAGCAAGCGCTTGAAAGACGCAGGGCTAAAAGACACTGAGGAGCTCATAGCTACTGAGTGTACTTTGTATACACCTACCGTTGACGGATTAAGAAGATTAGTCCAAACCGTCGGTGAACAAACTCGAAGTGACAAGATCACTGTAGAAGTAGGGGACCATGATGTCTCCCTACCGATAGTTCCAGGTAAAGAGATACAGGTAACTAGAGGCGGGATCCCAGACCAAAGAGCTAGAGGCTCCACTGGATCTCCGTCCCTCTCAGTACATACTGACAGGGAGGAAACAGCCGAGTGCGTTTACAACCGCCTAGATAAGGCAGAAGCACAAGCAGCGACAGAGTCAGGGGCAATTGTAAAACATACGAACTTTATCACCGGTTTCTCTCCCTCAAAATGGGAAGAAGAAACATGGGAAAGGAAAAAATCCGCGTTTAGGCCGAGTCAGACTTCCACCGAGAAAAAAGATAAATATGGAAAACTGGGTCAGGAAGATTCAAGTGATAGTTCGAGTACGGGCTATAGCGAGGATGAAATGTTACCTAAACGAAAGAAAGTTAATTACAAGCGATCAAAGAGCCAATCGTGTGAGGGGCGAAGTGGCTCGGTACAAAGGGACCATGAAAACCTCGGGGGTAGAACATTTCTAACCTGCCCGGGTTTAGTGTTCGATCCGCAGGACCCACAGTGGGCATCGCTTACAGAGGTGCAGCAAAAAATAGTCAAACTGGCCGTAGGACCAACCCCAGATGAAATCTTGGACATGCCAGGAACTAGTTCCAAGGCGAAAATAGACATGCTGGCAGAACAATTAAATTGTATGCAAGAGGCATTATGTTACGTGTTATTAGATGAAAATGAAAAAGAAGAACACGAACCGACAATTAATGACATAAAAAAAATGAGAAAGGCAATGTAGGGAGCCAGCACCTAATAGAAGTAAAGCTCAGAGAAGCAAGTCAAAGATTGAACAGTGGAGCCCCTCGCCCAAAATTATTGCCAGGGGAAAATAGCGAGACAACTCGTGTTAGGGTAACACGAGGACAAATTCTATAGCTAGGAGGAGAGTCCTCTGATTCGCAATCTGAATACGATTGCTTAACTTCTGATACCAAGAGAAAATTACAAAACCAAAGAAACTCTCTCTAATAAAATAAACAGCAGATTTGTCTCTCATGGCAGCCATGGCAAGACAGAGAAGGGGCAGTAAGCCAAATTCAGAAAGGGAAGATGATAGCTCTAAACCTAGGCGGGGTCCGTCGAGACAAGCCAAGGGCGATAGAGTTTCTGCAATCCAGTTATTGCAAAACATGTGATTTCAAGGGATAAAAGATATCATGAAAAAGGCGAAAATGGTAGCAGATTTAGGAAAAATGCTAAATGCACCTACCGGCCTAATAGAGCAAAAGGATTCGACATTATACAGGGATAGTGTTGAAATTACAAGCTATAGAATCACATTACGTTCATGTGATAGGGAAAGATAACAAAGCAGAATTAAGAAAGGAGTTAGAGGTGTTAAGAACCACAGGACTGTGGGCTTATCGCTCTGAAAAAGCTGACAAAGGGTGGACTGAAACCAAAGTGTTAGCACCATTGAAAACGCTGGCCGCAGAATTGCCGGGGTGTAAAGAAATAGCTCGTTGAGGGTCAGAAACTGATTGGCCTGAAATGTCCAAATTCGCAGTAAGGTATGGCAGAAATACTAAACAAATAAGGGAAGAGATCATACCCAGGCAGGAGTAGACTGCAAGAGGGGGACAGGATAAAACCAAAAGCTAGCTTTAAACCAGCGAGAAATAGAATAAATAATGCTGTATGAATAAAGGCAAGCGGAAAAGAACCCTCAAAAAATCCTGTGTATCAGAAACCTAAACGGCATTTCAGACCAGGGCAGAAAAATAACTCTAGAGAAAAGCACAGATAGGAAAACGGAACCAAAAAAGAGGAACTGAAACCAGAGCGAGCTCGAGGAGTCAGATCCAACAAGCCAGCTAGAAATACTGACAAATAGGACGATAAAGCTCCAGGAAAAGCGACCATCACCGTCGAGGTCACCCCATTAACCGAATGGCCTCCCGGGGCTGTGAATGTAGATGGGCAGCACAGAGTGTATGGGTTAAGCAATGAAATGAAACCATGATCCAGAGGTAGGTACCGCTGGGAAGGATTACACTGTATAGTGGACAGTTCAAATTTAATGAATGTTATAGATGGCATTTATGTTAAGGAAATGCACGTTAAAAATCTTGATAATGATAAACGAATCAGATGGATTAAGGTTAGCCCGGAGTATGAGATAAATAGAGTCGTAAAAAAGACTCTGCCTAAAGACGAATTGAGAGAGTTATTAGAAAAATAAAAGAATAACTGCGCAAAGAGCAATAATGATTGTGGAAAGTTACACAAGAAATATGAGTACACAATATTAGGCGGAATCCCTGCGCCATAGAGACAGTGCCCGCTTATGCCCGATTTATGGTCGAATTGAAAGGAAGAATTATTCACAAGGAGAAAAGCAGGTTGGAAAATGACAAGAGCGCCCAGGAAGCGGAGGTTAGCTGTTGCAAAGGCAATCATGCACAGGAGGAATAACAACCGTAAAAAATGCATATTAGTCACCGATAGTGAATACGTGTATTTGGGCATTGTTCAAAAACCTGTCCACATGGGAACCGAATAATTTTAATAATGCTAAGGGTAAACCACTGGCACAGGCGGAGTTGTGGAAAATAATAAGTGAATGTACCCGGGTGGTGCAACCGAGAGCATTGCACCATTCCAGTCACCCGATCCAGAAAACTCCGGCAGCTGTAGAAAACAGGGAAGTGGATCAGTATGTGCGCGTGAGAGCGATTACGAAAGAGAGTGAGGGGAACTTGCTCCAAGAGCTGCACGATAAGCTGAACCGCCCGTCCACAGCATATGTTGCGAAATAAGCAGCTAGGGCTGCATTTATAAAATGTAAAGACCACATGGAAATGCATGGAAATTTATCAGAAGATTAAACTAAAGTGTCCTGATGGCAGCAAGGTGATGTCCAGTGTGCAACACGATTTTGGACACATTAAGACGGAAAAAGAACACGAGGAAATAAGTGTAGACTTTGCTGGGCCTTTATATCCGAAGACAAAAATGAAGAATGTGTATTTTTTGGTGTTAGTCGACAACTGTACCAATTTTACGCAGATTTATCCGTGTCCGCAGGTGACCAGCGCGGTGGTAGTGAACAGTCTGAAGAAATGGGTGCAGATTTCGCCGGACCATTGTTACCTAAAACTAAAAAGATGAATGTCCACTTCTTAGTGTTAGTGGTCAATTGTACCAAGTTTCAAACAAACATATCCGTGTCCACAGGCGACCAGCGCGGTAGTTGATAATAGCCTTAAAGAGGGGATTAAATATCGGGGGAAGCCCGCAAGAGTCCGTGGGGACAACGCGCATAATTTAACTGGAAGTGAGGTGACAAACATTTTGTAACAAAAATGGATCAACCTTAGTCAAAGCAGTTAAGCGTGGCTGGCATAGCAGAGCATGCCGTTCGTAGTGTGAAAGAAGTCTTTGTAAAGAATCAAAGCTTAGGCGAATGGGATTCGATAGTTAATATCTGTACGCTTTAACCAAATTACAGGGTTGATAAACCTGACCAAAAGCCCGAACCAATAAATATAAAGCAAAGAAACGTTTAAGGTAGGACAGACAGTTTACATCTTACTCAAACGCAAAGACAAGAGGTTTAGGGCTAAAGCAGGAACTGAAGATGAGGTAGTTGAGTTAACCTTCAATACCACTGTTCGGCGGGAAGCAAACAGGGTTTGGTCAATCAGAAATCTGGTGGGGAGTAAAAGATTGTCTATAGGATTATGAACAAAATCATCACAGCAAAAGTATCCTTCCAACAGGGCATAAAGGGTCCAGCGGAAGGCCTAATTGTAGTGTGTAAAGATTTTAGTGATTCATTCTTAGTTAAAACATGGCATAAAGACTGTCGGGAGGGAACTCCGTCAGTTAGGGAAAAGCCTATTGACTGTGTGTTCTGTAGCAAACAGGACGTTTGCAGCCTGCTCTGGGAGGGGCCGAGAGAGATACGGGAAAGTCAGGCGTGGCTGAGAGCTCAGCTGACAATTTTGCCCAAATGGTTCAGCACAGATAGGTCCATTGGGGCCTGTGCGGTGGGAGACGTAACTGTATGCGGAAGCTGTCGAACGCAAAGGCAGCTATGAAGTGTATGGCAGTATGAACTGGCCATAGGTACTTGTGGATGTTAGACCTGTACCGACTGTAGATTGAAGCACAATCTACGAGGTCAGGAATGTAAGTGTACATTAAATGACCTAGGTGAGCTTGCGAGATGTGAGAGATGCAAGCTGCTGCTTAAGAAACGATGGTTACAGGTAACCAGTTTCA